ACTTAATTATTGGAACTGCTTCCACAACTCCACAATGCTGACAGTATCAAGATGGTTATGTTGCTTGAATAGGAAAAACAAGATACGCATGCAAGATGTGGACTTGATTCATCTGCCTCAGAAGAATATCCAGTGATTGTCTCTTGTTAAAATGATAATAAAGCAATTAGTTACATACAGACTCTGCTATGTGGAGTTAGTTAAGCCCTGAAGAAGGAGACAGTGCACTTCTCTAAAATGATAGTATCCGCCTACAAGTCCACATGGCATTATAAGCCACAAGACCAACACTGACATCTTCACCATTGTGTGAACTTCAAATCTCATATGTAATTAGTTCTTTTATTTCTTTCTGGCAATTACCCTGATAATGTCTTAGAATAGGGTACGACCACTTACTCCCATATCTCTTCTCACTCACAATTCATAACAATCATCTCCGTCACTCAATATAATCTAAGCAAGTGAAGATAAATATTAAACCCAACAAACAATCTCACATAGGTTAATATGAAAACCAGCAAAAATTGGAAGTACTTGTTGAGCACATGTTCCCAAGACATATATAAAACAGTATATGTCAATCAAAGTAAAAAGTAAAGCTGTCCCACCATGTGCAATGTAGGTGCTTGGGGGGAAAGATGGTATAGCTCCTACTCATTCTTGACCTTGGCACTAGATGGGGGTGAGTGGTCAGCATCACGCCCTGACCGTGCTTCACCCCCGGGAAAGGACCCTGGTACCCACTAGATAGGAGGCTGGGTGGGCCCCAGAGACAGTCTGGATGCAGAGGCTAGAGGAAAAATCCTCTGCCCCTGTAGAGGGATCAAACCCTGGTCATCCAGTCTGTAGCCAGTCACTATACTGACTGAGCTATGCTGGCTCATATATGTCAATCAAAAATATACTTCAAATTACAATTGATTACATATGAAATTCATTTGAATAACACACACTTGGAAAAATGTTGATGGTCTTCTGGATTATTGCACAGTGTAGTATTTTTGGCTGTGTCAATGTTTCAGAGGGATATCTGCACAAAATACCTACACAGCACAATAACCCATAACATGAAATTTTAGATTCTCATGGCAGTGAGAAAGACAATCTTGCTGCTGTTGTTCTGGGTTTTGACACCAAGTGGACTCATAGTGAACTTCAACCCTGAACATGAAGACAGTAAATTTTTTCAAAACAATAATATCTACCTACGAGTCTACATGTCATCAAAACCCAGAAAAACAACAACATTGACAACCAGAAGATCACTGCTATCCATGTCACTGTGAAATCTTCAAATCTTGTTAACATTTTAACTTCTGAAAATGACTCACAAGAGGCAGTCAATTTTATATGTACAGTTTTATACATATAACAACTAAAATTTTCTATCAAACTTTGTACACATTCATATGTGCATATATCAAATTGGGAAACATCTTTTTACTTCTATTTAACATACTTTACAGGACAGAAAGTTTCAACATTCTTCTTGATATGCAATATGTATTGCAGCTTTTCAAAACATAATCACCTTTACAGGCTGAGCTGGAGAATTCTGATCCTTCAAATACTGCCGCAATGTAACGTCTGATCTTTCACACTGGAGCTTGAAGTCATGAAAAGCATCTACCTTCTGGGCACACAGCACACAAATTTGAGTTGGCAGGTTGTCACCAACAAACATCTACAGACACACAATTGGATACTGTGATTTCATTTAATTTTCTTGATATTTATCTAAACAGGCAAGTCTATATGACATATATATTGAGAACCACAACCCAGTGAGATTCCTGTTCTTGTGCATTATCTCCAAGCAGTGTAGTCATCTGTGAATCCAATAACACTGGTATAATTGTGGAGGAAACTTCTTCCAGATGTAGAAGATAATTTGTAAGGTTTTCCAAACAAAGGTATCTTTAAATTTGAAACTCTTGACGTGGTGTATGCTGAGAAAATTTTTGAAAACTTTGAAAAACATAATGTTGAAAAATGGCTATAAGTGATGCATATGACAGACATAGACATTGCTAGGACTGCCTCTTTCACTTTGACAGTGGTTAGGTATTTAAAATTTTGTAGGCTATAAGAATAGACTATAAAATTCTATGAATTATATATGAAAAATGTTACTAAAATACAAATTACAAACATGTTAATGGTTGAAAATTATCAGGTTATATCTGACAAATTTAACACAGTATCTGTGCTACTTTATGAATTCTTAAACAAAAAATAAATAAACTGAACACTGCTCTACTACTACTACTACTACTACTACTACTACTACTAACAACAACAATAATAATAATGTTCCATATTTACAGAAGCATTCCTACTCACTGAAGAACTGCATTCACACACAAACTCAACACTCTAACCCATAATCCAAATTCCATGTTCTTGTTGAATTATAAACGTATGTTACCTAACTATACCAAGAACACCCAACAATTTGTACGACTTTAAGTCAATGTAGTGGAAAAGTAAACCTGGAGGTTTTATAATAAAAAAACTAACCACTACCAAATATATTTAATTCCTTGTTTACTGACCATTCGTTACGTTTCGTTTTGTTTACAACTGGTCTCGACTAAGAAATTGGCATTTAGGTAATTCCTGCAGCTTACTTTAGACTATTTTTACGGGCCAGTAAATTTAATTTAACCTCTTAATAAGGCATATTCCTATTTCCAAATAAGTAAATCGGAAGTACAGAACAATAACCAACCTTGAGATCGGGAGCAAATGTTTTGATTTTCGATGGGAAAGTCTTATGTTTATCAAAAAGAGGAAGCAGTGGTTTTCCTCTAGTCATACAAAGTCGACAAAGCAGGTCGAAATTCATAGGCATTCTTGGAATAAAAAATTCTCAGACAGAACGGAACATAAAACGGAAATTTTAAAACAAAATATACCAATTCTTCGGGCTAATAAGATGCAAGTTTAAATAGTAGCACGCACAACATTTTCGCAAACGCCAAAAAATGTTACGCCCATTTGACGTACTACATTGGCTGTCAACTAACAAACTCAATTTTAAAGAAGAAAAGCCATTCACTTGTAAAAAAGACGCTTATCCATTAATTAATAATGCTGTGACAATTACACAAATATTATATCTTTGAGGGGAGAGGGGAAGAATACTGAATTATTCCAACAGAATACACCTATTTCCAAATACATTCTTTTCTTCTACGTATATGAATGATTGTACATTATGTCAGATCTCGATCCAATTCGGGAATGTTCGAGGTGACTACCGCCACCTACCAGTAGCAAATGAAACTAAATACTCACTGAAAGATGATCTGCGTGAAGCCTGGTAGTTCATCTAAGTATGCTTGCTGTTTGTCATTAGTGGTATGATTATTATTGCCTTCGTTATGGAGGCAGCAAGCACGTCTTGAATGTTAGTACACTTCTACCAGACCACATTGTACAACATCCCAAAAGACATTCATCTTCATACTCGCAACTGTGGCAACTTAAACCTACTCATTGGTACAATCTGGGTTGGTGATGAACAGTGCTGGCAGAAGTTGGTCAAAACAATCTTTGCCTCTACATCCAGTGCATTAATTACGGGTCTCCAAATTGACCTGTTTCACCAAATAATCATATTATTATTAGTAGTAGTATTACAATTATGCCCCAGTTTTTACACACTGTTCCATTTGCAATCCTGTAGTACTATTCTGAAATTATATATATTTTAGGTACACATTTGCATGCAAATGCATACAGCCAGGTGAAGGAAATCAACTAATAAATAGAAGGCAATTTAAGAAAATGTATTTTTTCCGAATAAAGTACAGAAAACAACACATTGGTTCTTTCCTCTGCATCTTATATCTAATGAACTGAATTAAAAATTAAGATGGGAGTCTTCTGGGTCGTTGAGCTGTGTAATCTAGTACAATGCCATAACAACCCAGAAGGCAGCCATCTTCAAACTCACCACTGTGAAAAGCTGAAATCCTACTGGAATAAAAAATATATTAAATATAAATTAACAACAAATAAATTCATCAAAAAGGAATAATGTTCATCCGTTTTTCTAGCAACTATATTTTTACAACAAAAACTTTGAAGAGTCTTTTTACATATATAGTGCATCATGTACAAAGTGGGATTTGAATCTGGAGTGTGCAGTCTTTATAAAGAAACAAGTAAACAAAGAGAAAATGTTCATGTCTCATTACCACACTAGAGGGTAAAATCACTATAAAGGTAGCTAATAAGTACTCTGAGAATTTGTTTAAATTCAGACATTTTGAAAGGATGATAACAAATCAAAATGGATTTCATAAAGAAAGTAGGAGCAGATTGAGTCTGGGAAATGTTGCCAGCTTGCAGTTCAAAGTCTTTTGTTTTCCTGCATAAAAATGTGAAGATTATAATTTACAAGTTATAATTTTTACCTACTCTTTTGTATGGCTGTAAAACTTGCTAAAATTAAGGATATCTGAAAATAGGTTGTAAAGGAGAATATGTGGACCAAAGAGGGATGAAATTATATGTGGCAGGAGCAAACTGCATAATAAGGTGCTCCATAATTTGTATCCTTCACAAAATATTAGGATGATGAGATTGGTGGTGCATGTAGTGCACAAAGGGGAGATGAGAACTGGTTGTAAAGTCCAAGGAAGAAACTTCTTGTAAGACCAAAGCATGGGCAGGAGGGTCATGATAAACTTGATCATAGAGAAACAGGGTTGGAGAGTGTCTGGCTCAGGGCAGGTATGAGGGGTTGGGCTCTTGTGAACATGCCACATTTCACCCATCTCATCTTCCACAATTTTGTCACCATGATAATAGTTGGCAACAAGTACAAATTGGTAAGTTCATTATGAAATTTTCCCCATACTCCTGTTAGTTCCTCTCTCTTAGGTCCAAATATACTCCTCAGCACATTCAATTTGTATTCTTCCCTTACAGTGAGAGACCAAGTATCACACCCACATAAAACAGTTCAAATTACTTTAATATTTAGGTTTAGGATAAGAGACAAAAGATAAATTATTCACTAACTAACTAACTAATTAGATGGCTTACGAACCCTAAGGTTCATCACTGAATTAACCACAGCCCACCACCACACACTGTCCTGGACCAACAAAATCCAGTCTCCTTTAACTCCTATCTCCCATAGATCCTACCTGATATTATCCTCCCATCCACATCTCAGTCTCCCCAGCAACCTCTTCCCTTCAGGCTTCCCAACCAATACCCAGAGAGCACCTCTTGCCACATGCACTGCCCACCTCATTCTTCTTGACTTAATCAACCTGATAGTATTGGGGGAGGAGTACAAATTTTTAAGCTCATCATAATTATTCCTCTATGAATGTAAATTTGATTTGTTACAGTCATTCCCAATTATTTTAATTCAGACATATTTTCACAGGTACCATTAGCTGTCTTTAAATAAAAACAACTTCCTTCTGCATTCTGGTGATGGAACATGAACATATATTTAGTATTCCTGCATGTATTTGCAGAACAGGCTCCTTATGAGTGCCTAACAGAGTTTGTGTTTCTCTTTAAAGTATTTGCCCAGTAAATTAACATCAGCCATATAGGCCAGAAGGATACACCAACAGCAAGAGTTTTTGTTGTTGTTTTAATATTATCCACGGTTATTTTATTCCCCATTACCCTGGTTGACTGTAACCAACTATAAAGACTAAAATCCATTTATGTTTTGCAAGAGCCAAGCATTAGCTTGTTTTGAACCAAAAGCATGTGATGCAAATGTGCAAATTCAGTCAGAATTCAGTAATAAAATTTCAGCTAAAAAATGCAGGTTGTTCTCTCATATTTTAATAATTTTGTTCTTAAATTATATTAAAACAGATGCTACTTCTTCTTTAAACATACATGTGGAATGGTATGAAATCGCAAAAACTTCTTTCATAATTCTACAATCCAGTTTCAGTATTAACTACCCAATAAAGCACACAGTAACAACTAAACACAAATTACTAACAAGAGAGCATAATACATAAAAAACTACAGATTCTAACAGATTAAAGACAAGTTCACAATTAAAAAACTTCTGCAAGAACATTTTGTATGTTATGTTAACTGTTTTGATTCTCGAACACTTGTCTGCTCTATATTATATGAGTACTTCTTTTTTTACACACACTGTAACGTTTTGTCTACTACACAGTTTCCTTAAGACACGGGTTATAAATCACTCTACCTATTTATTTATACTTATAAGGGATAATTTAATGAGAAAAAGTGTGTCCATTTCTTTCATATTCTATCCACCTGCAAGTGTAATCCAATCCAAGTATAAAATCAAATCCATTACAGTGACACTGACCATATAAACATCTACCAGTGAACTGCCTACTAACTGGGAATCCATGACCATTACAGGCTTTACTGATAATGAATCACTAATAGGTATCTGATTCCAGCAGGGTTTTCTGCAATAATAATGTTATGTACTTCTTTTCTAAATCACAAACAAAATAATTAAAACAGCCAAATCTATTCATGGTCATTCTTGAAATTTAAGCCATGGAATATTAAAGTAATAGGACACAAAAAAGGTAATCATTTTACTCTTTAATGAAAGCCAGCAGTTTTATTGAGTTTGATTCTAGTATCTCCCTTCTCAGTTCTCTTCTAAGTTCTCAAATTATACCCATTTAACTTAAGTTAATTTGGTATGAATATATAATATATAGCTTTCCAAACTATACTATAAACTATATTATAAACAGTAATGTTATATAAAACAATTACAAATCACTGATTCAATTTTGAAGAAGTCTATAAAAATTGCTATGAACAGAATTAAATGTGAGCACACTAAAAGGAAATGCTACACAGCAGTGACTTCAAGTATCTTGTGGCTCTTTATACTACAAAGCACTTAAGACAAAAATGACATTAAGAATTCGATAAACTCCATGTGTTACATAGTTGATATAATCATGCAGAAGCTTAATTCATGTAATAACTATGGTGAACTGCTCAACATGTATGTATATGATGCTTTAACCTATTCACGTACAATCTACAAATTCATTCAAAAATACATAAACTAGCAACATTTTGAAATTCCCACTAAAATTTGTGTGTGTACATACAAACCACATAAATTTATTGTCTTATATTCTTCCAAGATTTTGACAGATGTGATTCTAGAATTCAGGGGAAGCACAAATGGATAATTTATAAACAGACACCACATAACATGTACAGTCAAACAGCAATATAGTGCCCTTCTATACACTACCACCCTCAGATTGTGCCCACATTGTAAAAACATTCGAGCAGAAATTCCCAATGTAATCTCAAAGGAAATCTCCCAGTAAAATGCCACAGATGTCAGCTGTCATCAGCCAACATGTGTGGTAATACAAATGTACCATTAAGCATTATAATTAAGCCTGATGCACTGCCATGCCATCTTGTTTCTAATGTATAAAATTGACTACCTGGAATATTCAGTTGTAAAATACTGTATACCAACACATAAAACCTACACAGGCAAGAAAACAACTACAGTTATCTGGAAAGGGAGTAGGGTTATTACTTGGAGTTAGCAATGTGAATGGTGACATTCCAAAAAGAGGCAGTTATAGTAAATGAACCTGATACTGGAAGCAGCACTGATTTGAAAATGGAAACATTACCCAGAATGAGCTGCATACACTAACAGGTATCATTCCAAGAATTCTGGTATTTTGCTCTTCAACAGAGTAGTGGACTCTTCCATAACAAAAGTGTTTCCAGCACTCTTTGAATAACTAACATACAGTATGCAAACACACTTTAGTTTGAATACTTTTGCTAGGCTCATTACAATAAAAAATTTAAGTACAAGGATATAGGTGCATACTGTGTAATCGCAATCAGATACATCTGTCTGACATGGGTAAAAAAAATGTGTCTATAAATAATATCCTAGGGTTTGATCATACTTTGAACAGAACTTAATTAGTAAAAGTGTAATTCAGTATACTGTTGCTCTGGGCATTGTCACTGGTAAAGATAATGAGAAAAAGAAAGTTTAGACAATCATTAGCATATTTTGTTCTAGAAAAATTAAATTAGAGTAAAGGTGACTACTGAAGAGTTGGTACAGACATGTTACCATAATTCTGCCTTTTCTTTAGCCCTCAAGATCCTAACTACACTTTGTACATCATATGGCACTTTAATATATATATATAAATATGCCCAGACACACAAATACAAAGAAAAGAGTTCCAATACATTGCCACCCCACTTTAACACCAATACTGGTGCTCAAACATGGGTTGACTGTATATGCATTTATGATATGGTGGCTTTTAAAGAGATTAATTTTGTGTTAAACTGCACAAGAATTGCTGGTATTAGTGTATTATAAAGTAAAGTAAAAGCCGTTCCATTACACGCCATGTAGGTCGTTCGGTAGGGGGAGTGAAGGTATAGCTCCTACTCATTCTTGACCACTGCACTAATCGGGGTGAGTGGTCAGCATCACACCCCGGCCCCGCTTTACCCCCAGGAAAAGAGCCCGGTCCACACTGGATAGGGGGATAGGTGGGCCCCAGAGCCAGTCTGGATGAAGAGGCTAGAGAAAAAATCCTCTGCCCCCATAGGGGATCGAATCCCAGTCGTCCAGCCCGTAGCCAGTCACTATACTGAATGAGCTATCCCGGCCCTTATTAGTGCCATATACAATTTGTTATTCCCAATTATTTTTCAGTATATAGATTGACTGAATAACTGGGTTATTTAATAACACTACTTTGTCTACTTTGTGTCAGTTCATGTATTTAATGTAATATATGTTGTGCGGTTTACAAAGTGATTGTAAATTAAACAATTGAGATAATAATAAAATTAACTACCTACATGGAAGTGTCTTCCTTGAGAAGCTATTAGTCACCCAGCTAGTCAACAAATTCTTTGCTTGTTTATAAAATGCTATCAAAATATGTCTGTACAAATATAAACTCCACAAAACATATAAATATGTTCTAATTCATTACGTCCTACACAGTAACTCAGAATTTAATATACTTTGTTATTCTGTCCACAATACAACACAAGCAGAAGATGTCTTTCTGCATTCTAAAAACATAAATATTAAATTATGCAAAACAATGATCCAGCCTGGGTGTAAAACTTGGTCACTCACATTAAGGGAAGAGCACAAATTAAGGGTGTCTGAAAAAAAGGTGGTGGAGAGAATATATGAACATATGAAGATGGAGGAGGCTGCAGAAAATTGCATAATGAGAAAGTCCATAGTTTGTACTCTTCACCAGATATTATAATGATCAAATCAAGAAGAATGAGATTAGTGGGGCACATAGCATGCATGTGAGAGAGATGAGAAACACATACAAAAGTTTGGTTGGAAAGCCTGGCGGAAAGAGACCACTTGGAAGACCTAGACACCGATGAAAGAAAAATATTGAAAAAAGTGCCTTGAGGAAACAGGGTGAGATCATGTTAATCAGATTCATCTGGCTCAGGAAAGGGAACATGATAATGAATCTTCATAGAAGGTGAAGAATTTGTTCACCAAATGGGTGATAATCAGCTTTTCAACAATCATTTTGCTCCATTAATATAATTAGCTAATAACAAAGTGGGGGCTATTATTAACTTCCTTGGGCCTCTTTATAAACCAATATTACAATAATACAAAATATTCCAAATCAGTCTTTGCTATCTCTTGATGGTTTGTTTAATATATTGAAGTATTCAACTATTAGGCATTATGTAATATTTGGATACATAAATGACTACTTCACAAGACACAATGAACTCTAAACTCCATTATTAGCGTATGAGTTGAGATCAAATCAAATTCCAGATGGGTGTAAAACTGCTATATGTGCAGCTGGTGGTTTGTGGAAAGGCATAGCTGACTTCCCTATAAAAGAAAGAGCAGGATTTTCTACCATAGGAACAACTGACTTTTGTGTATAAGACGCAGCTGACTTCTCCACCAAACTGTCTGCTGACTTGTCCATTACAGATAAAGCAGTCAGAGGGACTGCTAACTTCTCTGTATAGGAAATACCCACCTTGTCTGCATATGGAACAGCAGATTTATCTGTGTAGGAGACATCTGATTTCTCTAGATATGGGATAGCTGACTTCTCTGGATATGATGCAGCCAATTTATCTGGATATGAAACAGCTCCCTTCTTTGGACATGGGATAACAGACTTTTCTATATGACATATGGCTGACTTATCTACATAAAGCACAGCTGACTTATCTTCAATAGGTACAGATGAATTTTGTATAAGAGGTACAGATGAATTCTGGACATGAAGCATAGTTTGATTTTCTGAGAGGGTAGATGATTTTTCCCTGTGATAATTTCTTTCATGGCCTTGAAGATGCTGTTTGATACTAAATGTCTTCTTGCACACAGAACACTCATATGGCTGGTTGTCAGTGTGTAACCTGGTATGCTGTGAGAGGTAGTACTTGCTTCTGAAACCCTTATTACAAATAGGGCAGTGGTGACGTTGAATCCCAGTATGAATCTTTGAATGCCTTGCCAGATGACTCTTCAAGGGAAAGTACTTAAAGCATATTGAACATTTATGTAATTTATCCCTTGTATGAAGTCTTGTATGTACTAACATTGTGTCCCTTCTAGCAAAGGTTTTATTGCACATAACACATTCATGTTGTTTTTCTTTAATATGGGTCTTGCAGTGAATCTCAAGGTTCTGTTGACATTTAAACATTTTATTACATGTGGGGCACCTATGTGGCTTCTCATCTGAATGTACAAGACTGTGTCTATTTAAATGGAACTTCTGTGTGAAACACTTTAAACAGATGGGACATTTATATAAGTTGTCCCCTGTGTGTAATTTCATATGAAGGCGCATACTGTCCTGCCTTGAAAACAATTTGTCACACAGTGGACACTTGTGACGTTTGTCACTGTAGTGAATTTCAGTATGAATATTCAGCTCAGAAATGCTCTTAAATGATTTGCTGCATACATAACATGGATATGGTCTCTCCTGGGAATGTACAGTCACATGCCGATTCAAATGGAATTTTTGAGGGAAACACTTCAAACAAACAGGACACTGAAACAGTTTGTCATTTGAATGCAACCTCATGTGAAGAAGCAGGGTGTCTCGTCGAGAAAAAGTCTTCTGACACACTGTGCATTCATGGCGAGTAGTAGAAGAATGACAATTCTTAATGTGGATATGAAGGTCACCTTTTTTCTTGAATGACTTCTTGCACACCACACAATGGTGGGGTCTCTCAACAGTATGTACTGTCACATGGCGGTTTAAGAGACCTTTCCGAGTGAAACACTTCATACACACTGGACACTGATGCAATTCGCTCCCTGTATGAAATGCCACATGCCTTTGCATTAAATTAACATTGGGAAATGACTTCTGGCAAACAGGACATTTATACAATTCCTCATTATGAGACATTAAATGTATGTCCAATTCAAGTTTTCTACTAAAAGATTCCTTGCATATTGTACAATCAACTGTAATCTTTGGAGAATTTTTTTTCGCATTCTTTAACTTATGTAATTTATATGATGAAATTTCATCAAACCCTAATACCATCCCTATAGCTTCACTCACTTCACCATAATGCATATCTCTTATATAGTCTGTACTAGTGGCAACACTTCTCTGAGTGGTTTCATTGAGAAAAGTGTTCTGAATGTGTGAAGGTATTTCTATATTTTTCTGATAAATATTAACACTATGATTCATCAAACCTGCCTCTTCCATGTTTACTGTACACCTTGTCCTCAAAAACTACGTATAGAGAGTTCTTGGTTACCTGGTGTGGATGAATTTTATAAAGATGACATTGCTGTTACATAACAAAAGAAATCCTGATGATGATCAGAAACATTCACTATACTGTAATTACCAAAGCCCCTATGTTGTTCTCTTGCATTCTGTAAACAAGAACATACAATACTTAAAAAATAGAACTGTAATTATATTTTATACATATTTAAAACAAAAAATCATGCAGAAACTTTTTCTGCAGCCTATAGTTCCCCTCTGCTGCCAAAGCTCATATAAACGATATTTAAAAATTCAGTCCCTACTTTGAAGAAAACAGAACATTCCTTCATAACATAGCTCAACTGATTAATGCTGTTAAAGGAAATAATTGTTCTTTATGCTAGAGAATCATATGAAATCCACAAATACACTCTGTGGGAAAATGCATAGTTGCTGACTGTTAACCCTTTGAAGCCCAGTGTTAACTAAATATACTATTTGCTTTAACATAGATTTTTCTCAATGTGTAGTATGGATTTCGTATTATTCTAAGAACAGTGACTATTTATAATGAATTCTTCTCGGGCTTCAGATCGTATTATTATTATTATTATTAAGTGTTCTGTCTTACGACAGGTCCATTGCTCTGCCCAAACAGAGCTCTCCAGTTGTCCCTATTCTCGGCTTCTCGCTTTAATTCCTGGAACGTCATCTTCTTTCCTTGTTTAAGGTCGTCGGTTAGCTGTATCAATCTTCTTCCTAGTCCTCTCTTTCCTTCAACCTGGCCTTCG